ACAGCTGCTGCCATGAAGTATATAATATTTATTAATTTCTCTAAGGAACGTTGTGCAAGTATGTGATAATGTCTGTTGCACTGTGAGATCTATCTATACTCGCCGCTAATAAGATCTATATTTGGAGTGTCCGATTCTAATGTAGACCACCTTTGAAAACTCACAAGTAGGTTAAGCAACATGTGAGGGTATACTTCACATATTGGGTTTTACGCGGTACAGAAGGCAAAAGGAATTCACCGATAATCAAAGTTTGTCATGTCTAGAAATTAAGATTTATGAGCCCGTCATTTTTGATATCTGTTCAGATGCATGACATGACCAATGACGATGGGAAAAACATACAGTTTCTGGTAACCACACAGGTCCTAGAGGTTCCACAACTAGTTGGTAATCTTCCGAGATCCTACATTCGGAAATGCATATTCCATGTTAACGCCACTCAAAAATCCATCTATATGATGCAAGCCATGGTGGCGATGCATAGCTGATCCGAAAGGAAAAATTCCATAAACGTTTAGTGGAAGATACCTGTAACCGAGATAACACTTCTGAAGTGCTTTGCTGCCGGTTTCAAACATGGTGTGAGTTCCTCATAGCTGGTATCTTTAACCAATCATGTTTGGAGTCCTGAGATTGCCCAATCCAAACAATCAGTAGTCTTGGCAGAGGAATCGATAAACTGGCGAAAGGAATACATAATACATAGTGTATCGACTACGATCGAATGAAATGGAATTTCTCACATTGGCCCACTGACTCTGTTTTCCTTGAAGTTGACACTGCAAGTCATCTGCGCTAGTATTTTTCGACACACCTCCTCCTCCTGTCGCAAATTCACTGCCTTAGTCCGTACAATACATTTTTATTGCTATCCACTTATTGCCTCAGGTGACTGTAACAGCTGCGCAAGGAAGATGATACCAAAGCGCGCGTATTCACCACAAATCGTGCTTGGGACAGACCCAGTAAGCGGTTTGCCATGGCCCAGCAGAAAGCTGATGAAATCGCGCAACAGACAGCATGCGTGTTGCCAAAGTCTGACCGGAAATTGATGGAATCGCGAGTCAGACATCACGTAGATTGCCATGTCCCGGATAGATGGGTGAAGAATGGCGTACCGAGCAAGACGGTGAACTGGCCATACGGAGTGGACAAGCAAGTGTAGAGCGTGGAAGTACAGCCAAATCCGCCAGGCGATGTTTAGATGATTGGTGACACCGACATATAAATATGAGCGTGCTCGGTCCTAATACAACACTGGTCGGCTGAGAATTTTTCTGCGTTCCATTCTGTGGAGTTGGCCAAAGCGTCAAGCAGAGCAGGCGCAAAGGCGTAGATTTACGAGCAGTCGTGAAACAACCGGTGGACGGTATGTACCTCGCTATAGTAGTGGTGAAGTGAGTACATTCGGACTCGGAAACGGCGATCAACATTAAAAAATTAAAAGCAAATTAAAAATTCCCATTTAGAGTCAAAAAAACACGAGAACATAGGTGAAAAATAGTTTTCGATGATTCCCTTCAGACCAGTAAAATCATATTTAAGGGTAAAATAATGAACTAAAATCGACTCATTTGGTCAAGTTACACAGTTAATTAACGGATCAGTGAGGGAGGCTAAAAGTTGACCATTGATCTGACAGGTCGATTGCATGTTATCGAACTTGATCTGTGGCAATCGACCTCAGTATCGTTCGTTCTAGCTGGCCAGGGAAGCTGTAAGGCATGGAGCAACTTCTTTTGCGAGCATAATGAAGGTTGGAACAACCGAATGCAAATCGATTCAGCTGTCGCGAGCGCATGGAGGCGCAAACCTCTTGATTGATGATGGGGGACCCTGTAAATTATCCTGAAGGCACGCTTTAGATCGACTTGGTGCCCCGTGTCGACAATATGGGCCAAAACGGCGCTGCTAATGGCCCCAGTTCCTCCTTGACGCAACCAGCGCGGGCAGTGCTCCTTCACGCGTTTGGACAAATACCGTGCCGTTCGACCAATATAAGTAGCGTCACAAACGCACTTGAACTGATAAATAACCATAGATGAGGTCAGTAATGGCAGCGTATCCTTATTGCGTGAACAAACATTGGTTCAGTAGAAAATGTGCACTTTAACCTGGCTGCTGGGAATGTCGACTTGACTACCGCTGAAAGACTTTTGGTTAGGCGCTCGGCAGCGGCATCCCCCTTAAAAGGTATTCTTACAAATAACTCCTTCTTCGCCACGGTTAAAACTGGTACCGGCTTGGGCTTTTCTTCAAGATTCTTTGAAACAAATCTATCAGGATAGCCATTCTCGCGCAGCGTATTCTTTATAAAGGCTAGTTCCTCATCCAGGGTGTCCTGTGAGCAAATTCTACGTGCTCTTGTGGTAAGGCAGTGGATTAAGTTTCGCTTATATCTCAGTGGGACGAAACTGTGAAAATTCGTGTACTGACCAATCCACGTATTTTTCCTGTAGACTTTCCGCTGGATGGAGCCGTCTGACCTCCTAGTTAACAAGACATCTAGATATGGAAGCCGATTGCAAGTTTCTGCCTCGTAGTTAAATTGCAATGCTGCGTGAGCCCGGTTAAAACGATCGAGAACCTCATCCAGATTAATGTCTTTATCCGCCACTATAAATATATCATCCATATAACGATGATAGCGAACAGAAGATTTTTTCTCTGCTTGCAATTTTGTTCGCTCCAATTTGGCCATGAATATATCTGCGAACAATGGACCGAGGGGGATCCCATGGCTACACCATCCTTTTGCCAGTAAAATTTACCATTAAATAGAAATTGCACATTCCATGTGCACCGCAGCAATAAGTTTTCAATTCAAGCACAGGTATACAAATCTTAATTTCCAACTTCGTTATCTGCTCGCAAATGTAATCAATGGTTTCGATCAGCGGGACGTTAGTGAAAAGCGAGACAACATCAAAGGAGAGCGTCACTTTCTCATTAATTTTGGCCTCCTGGATGCTCTCGACAAACTGAAAACTGTCGTGCAGGCTGCAAGTCACAAGCTGTTGTCTCACCGGCTCAAGAATTCCTACAAGCCACTGGGCAATTGCGTGGTAGGGAGAGTTAACCATTGACAGAATAGGACGAAGCGGGATGTCGGCCTTATGGACTTTTGGTAAGCCGTAAAGTCTCGGAACGTTTGTGCCACAAGGTCTAAGACTGTCATACAATGCAACGGTTATGTACCCCTTGGCCCGAAGCTGTTGTAGGCGTTTAGTGATCTGTCTCTCAATCTGTTCCGTTTGGTCAGCTTCCCTCGTTTCGCAGGAAAACTTCGTCTTATCGCTCAGAATGGTTGTGAGTTTATCAATATAATCTTTTCTGTCTAATAACACAATGCCAGCACCCTTGTCCGGTTTGCACAGAATGACCTCCTCATTGCGTTTAAGCTCCTTCAACGCGTCTAGGTGCTATCTTGTTAATGGACCACAATTATGGACACGATGTTTACGATATTGATAGCAACAATGTACCAAGAAGCACTTAAAGCGTTCGAGATCCATATTAGACGTAGGTGTTAACCCATTCGTTTGGTCATATAGGTTTTCGAATTGCAACTCGTAATGAAGTTGGTTGTCTCTACGTCTAGGTGCACAAAATTTTAAACCGAGCGATTGAACTTCAATCAAAGTTGTATGCAGTTTCACGCTAGAAAAGTTGTGTACGTACCTTTCGGGATTGTTCGGAAACACAGCTTGCGGTTTTAACTGACTTAGCGTTTTTTCTAAAGCCGAACGCCTCCGATGTACCCGATTACTGGTAATAGACTGGACATAATCCAAGAACATCTGCTTTTACTCTGCGGCCGATTCCTCCGTTGCTACATGGCGTTGTGCTAAATTCCTATCGAATTCCGCTATCTTGGACTCTACCGTATCACGTTGGTTAAGCGCATGCCGTCTAAGCGTCTTGCTATTAGGATAAATCCGTTTACGACGTAGCTGCTTCCAAAATCTAGCGGGATACTCGTTACGCTCAACACACTCATCGAAAAATTGAACAATGTTTTTGGATTCAGCAAGCTTTGTGGAAAACTTCAGGAACTGATTGAGATCCTTCACCACTGAGGGAGGCTAGGATAATTTAAGCAACTTGAAAATTCCCATTTAGAGTCAAAAGAACACGAGACCATAGGTGAAAAATTGTTTTCGACGATTCTCTTCAGACCAGTACAATCGTATTTTCAGGGTAAAATAATGAACTGAAATAGACTCATTGGGTCAAGTTACATAGATAATTAACGGATCCCGCTATATTTTGGAAGTAGCTACGTCGTAATCGGATTTCTCCTAATATCAAGACGCTTAGACGGCATGCGCTTAACCAACGTGATACGGTACAGTCCAAGATAGCGGAATTCGAAAGGAATTTAGCACAACGCCATGTAGCAACGGAGGAATTGGCCGCAGAGGGAAAGCAGATGTTCTTGGATTATGTCCAGTCTATTACCAGTAATCGGGTACATCGGAGGCGTTCGGCTTTAGAAAAAACGCTAAGTCAGTTAAAACCGCAAGCTGTGTTTCCGAACAATCCCGAAAGGTACGTACACAACTTTTCTAGCGTGAAACTGCATACAAATTTAATTGAAGTTCGATCGCTCGGTTTAAAATTTTGTGCACCTAGACGTAGAGACAACTAACTTCATTACGAGTTGCAATTCGAAAACCTATATGACCAAACAAATGGGTTGACACCTACGTCTAATATGGATCTCGAACGCTTTAAGTGCTTCTTGGTACATTGTTGCTATCAATATCGTAAACATCGTGTCCATAATTGTGGTCCATTAACAAGATAGCACCTAGACGCGTTGAAGGAGCTTAAACGCAATGAGGAGGTCATTCTGTGCAAACCGGACAAGGGTGCTGGCATTGTGTTATTAGACAGAAAAGATTATATTGATAAACTCACAACCATTCTGAGCGATAAGACAAGGTTTTCCTGCGAAACGAGGGAAGCTGACCAAACGGAACAGATTGAGAGACAGATCACTAAACGCCTACAACAGCTTCGGGCCAAGGGGTACATAACCGTTGCATTGTATGACAGTCTTAGACCTTGTGGCACAAACGTTCCGAGACTTTACGGCTTACCAAAAGTCCATAAGGCCGACATCCCGCTTCGTCCTATTCTGTCAATGGTTAACTCTCCCTACCACGCAATTGCCCAGTGGCTTGTAGGAATTCTTGAGTCGGTGAGACAACAGCTTGTGACTTACAGCCTGCGCGACAGTTTTCAGTTTGTCGAGAGCATCCAGGAGGCCAAAAGTAATGAGAAAGGGATGCTCTCCTTTGATGTTGTCTCGCTTTTCACTAGCGTCCCGCTGATCGAAACCATTGATTACATTTGCGAGCAGATAACGAAGTTGGAAATTAAGATTTGTATACCTGTGCTTGAAGTGAAAAACTTATTGCTGCGGTGCACATGTAATGTGCAATTTCCATTTAATGGTAAATTTTACCGGCAAAAGGGCGGTGTAGCCATGGGATCCCCCTCGGTCCATTGTTCGCAGATATATTCATGGCCAAATTGGAGCGAACAAAATTGCAAGCGGAGATAAAGTCTTTTGATCACTATCATCGTTATATGGATGATATATTTATAGTGGCGGATAAGGACATTAATCTGGATGAGGTTCTCGATCGATTTAACCGGGCTCACGCAGCATTGCAATTTAACTAAGAGGCAGAAACTTGCAATCGGCTTCCATATCTACATCTCTTGTTCACTAGGAGGCCAGACGGCTCCATCCAGCGGAAAGTCTACAGGAAAAATACGTGGATTGGTCAGTACACGAATTTTCACAGTTTCGTCCCACTGAGATATAAGCGAAACTTAATCCACTGCCTTACCACAAGAGCACGTAGAATTTGCTCACAGGACACCCTGGATGAGGAACTAGCCTTTATCAAGAATACGCTGCGCGAGAATGCCTATCCTGATAGATTTGTTTCAAAGAATCTTGAAGAAAAGCCCAGCCGGTACCAGCTTCACCTGCGGCGAAGAATTTATTTTTAAGAATACCTTTTAAGGGGGATGCCGCTGCCGAGCGCCTAACCAAAAGTCTTTCAGCGGTAGTCAAGTCGACATTCCCAGCAGCCAGGTTAAAGTGCACATTTTCTACTGAACCAATGTTTGTGCACACAATACGGATACGCTGCCATTGCTGACCTCGTCTATGGTTATTTATCAGTTGAAGTGCGTTTGTGACGCTACTTATATTGGTTGAACGGCACGGCACTTGTCCAAACGCGTGAAGGAGCACTGCCCGCGCTGGTTGCGTCAAGGAGGAACTGGGGCCATTAGCAGCGCCGTTTTGGCCAATATTGTCGACACGGGGCACCAAGTCGATCTAAAGCGTGCATTCAGGATAATTTACAGGGTCCCCTATCATCAATCAAGAGGTTTGCGCCTCCGTGCGCTCGCGACAGCTGAATCGATTTGCATTCGGTTGTTCCAACCTTCATTATGCTCGCAAAAGAAGTTGCTCCATGCCTTACAGCTTCCCTGGCCAGCTAGAACGAACGATACTGAGGTCGATTGCCACAGATCAAGTTCGATAACATGCAATCGACCTGTCAGATCAATGGTCAACTTTTAGCCTCCCTCACTGATCCGTTAATTAACTGTGTAACTTGACGAAATGAGTCGATTTTAGTTCATTATTTTACCCTTAAATATGATTTTACTGGTCTGAAGGGAATCATAGAATAGAATAGAATAAGTAATTATTTGAAGCAGCCGCAGGGGTATTTTTAGCATTCCCGGCCAAGTTGCTCGAGATGCTAACTCAGAAGTGTACATTTCATTCAAGTTTCGTGTTGGGAACAAGTGAATTTTCTCCCTTTTGGAAACTGTGAAGCATCAGATCAGTGATTTCTGTTATGACACTGATCCTGGCATAACAATTGTTTCTTGGTTCCACAAGTATAAAGAAGATTTCCGATTTGAATTTTCCAAGCTTTCAGCGAAAGTTATTTGACTAATGCTGCGGAAGCAAGTTGCTGCCTAACAAGAGCAATTCACCAATATTATCTTACCAAAAAGGGTACCGATTTGTCGTTTGATGAAGTGATCGCAGTTTTGTCGTACATTTTCGGAGAGCAGATATCCGCTACATGTGTCTGACAATAACAAAAAGGAAGACGAATACTGGGTCGACTGGTCCAGCCGTGTGAATCACCGGTGCGAACGGTCACAACTACACAAGCTGACAAGTGATTAGTTTAATTGTCTCATATACGTTTGTGGTCTACAAGCAACCAAAGACGCAGACATTCGAACAAGAATACTGAACAAAATTGAGCAGAATCCGGATGTCAGATTGCAGCAAGTGACCGGTGAGTGCCAACGCATGGGGAATTTCAGACACGAGACCGAAAATGTTCAGCGGTTGTCCAATCAGAAGGATCAAGATTTTGTCTGTGCAGTCAGCCGTATTTTCTAAAATGAAACTTTCCACGTGAGTGTACCGCATTCTAACCCCCTCTGCTGCACTATGCTTTTGTAGAGATTGGGATTTTGCCCGCGAGTGCCCATGCAGAACTCACACTTGCAACCGTTGCGACATAATAATTCATAAGGAGTCACGGCGAGTCGTCCAGTTTTGTCCGAGAAGATGCGTAACAATGCCAGATAGTTCCGGCGTCCTAAATTGGCCAGGTCTATCACGGCAACTTTCATAGTGGACTGGGTCAGCAAGCGGAAATACACAATTGTGAAAATCAACGGCTTCTAAGTTACGGCTTCAGATATCACCCTGATATCTCGCGACACTTGGTGCATGCTGGGGCGACCGACATTCATAAAAACGGATCACACGCACGGAATGCTTCATGAGGTAGGTTAAAACTGCTCGGTGAACTGAATTGTCAGGTAAAGTTCCGCGAATAACAAATCCAGACGACATGTTTTGTGACAGACCAGCCGGGGTTAGAATTGTTGGATGAAGTAAAATTGCTTGATCAATCAGCGAACAGTATATCAGCCACCGCAAATCAAACTACTGTCACAACTGTCGACACAAGCCCAATGTTTCAAAGTCAACTTACCGAGATAAAACGACTTCAGGATACATTGTTTCAACCTGGTCTGGGTGCTTCAACATAGCTACTGCCGCTTTGAACCTTAAGCCAGACGCAAAGCCAGTCTTCCCACCAAGACATCCCTTGCCGTACGCAAACCAGTCCGTAGTGGAAGCCGAGTTAAACCGGCTACATCCTGAAAAAATAATCAAAAGAGTTCACCATACAGAATGGGCACCACCTATTGTGGTGGCAAAGAAAGGAAACGGTAAAGTCCGTATTTGTGCTGATTTCTGGACAAGTTTGAATTCTGCGTTGGACGATTATCAGTATCCCCTGCCGATACCAGAAGATTTGTTCAGCAAACTCAATGGGGGAAATGTTTCGCAAAATTCGACCTAGCTTATGAATATCTGTAAATCCCAGTTGCCCATCAGTGCAGAACATTAATGAGAGTAAATACCAACCTCGGACTTTTTCAGTACAACCCGCTGTCGTTAGGAGTGAATATTGCACCGGCCACTTTTTAACAAATGATGCATACCCTGCTGTGCGAAATCTCAAATACCGCAGTATACCTGGACGATGCGTTGATTATGGGCTTAGATCGGCAAAACATGATACAGACACTGGATAAAATGCTTTCGCGTTCCAAAGAAGCTGGATTTCGATTACCAGCTAAAGAATGTGAGTTCATATAAGAAAGTGTCAAATTGCTTAGGTTAATCATCGACAAACTTTGCCGGCGTCCGGATTCCGCCAATGTTGAAGCCATCAAAAAGATGAAGCCTACAGAAGACATTGCAGAGCTCCCCTCTTTCGTAAACAACGTCAGACAGTGCGGTCGCAATAAAACTGTCCTCCTGCGTTATTCGCCTCCAAATCTTTGGATTTATTCTCACAGAGACCTACGTGCCATCATTCAATTTGGCTCCGCGAGCTCCTCCTACCACTGGTCATCTATTGGATCTATTATTCACGGATCACCAACAAACTGTGCTCTTGGAACTTCGAAGTCAACCATATTTGAAGCTTATCGGATGTTTTATTTTTCCTCTCGTCGCATAAGAACTCTTGTGGTCTTATTTTGAAGATCTTTTTGTGAGGCACCCGATCAGCTTACTACCATTCCTTCAAGTCACTCTACAAAGCGATAGTCGTCAATTTGCTCTGCATTTGGAACTGCCACTGTCGTCACTAGACAGCATTTTCCAAGTCACCTTGCTTTGCCTCAGTCGCTTTGTCTCGCATCGCTGTCTACCCCTCTGGATCGATAGCACGCACATCACCTGGACCTGCTGACCTCAAACCAGCGCCGATCGCCACGCAGCGGTGCGTCAGTATCTCCATCCACTTCCTACCCCTACTGAGAACATGTCTCGTATGAAAAGCAAATGCGAATCATGTGCTAAAGTGGTGAAAAATGGTCTGGTGTGTACCATGTGCTTGAAAACCTATCACACTACCTGCCTTGGGAAGGGGTCGACGGAAGCAAACACCGCAGATTCGCCTTGGTTCTGCCAAGTATGCAAGTCTATTCCATTTGTTAGATGTCTATCTGTGCTACTGAAGAGGTGTGAAAGACTAACCGAAGCGGTCGAGCAACTGCTGAGCGCCAGAGTTACACCCATGGGAGGAAACGGACCTGCACTTGTGAGTGAAAATTACACCCCGAACTCACTAGTCAGGCCGAAGAAGCGAGCCAGGCGTCCCAACCCAACCCCAACGACTCAGTCTCCAGCAGTATCAACTCCATTCTCCCTCCCTCCTATAAGTAAAAACAGTGCCTGCAGCGCGCCTGCCTCGACTTCTGTACAGTGTGCTGCACCTAGTAGTCTGTTCGCTACACTCGAGACTGTAAGCTACAGCCAACCAGCAATAGTGAACAACCCGGCAACTTACGCATCGGTTGCTGCCAAGCAAACACCGGAAAGAGCACCGGTAACCTTTGTGCCCGAACTAGAGAAAACAAAACTGCCGCAGCACGGATGGCACACACCAAGGCCGTTCACAAATTCAACAAAAACACCAGAAACTAAGCCTCGAAATCCAAAACCAGTAGCCACCAGGCGCAACCATGGTGTCCTAAACATTATATGCACTAATGTCCCCGAATCCAAATCCAATACAATTAAGAGTAAGTTGACGGACGATCGAAATCAGTGGGGTTCCATCTGTACGTCGATCGGAGTCCATGCTAATCCCACGACATTAAAAAGAATCTCGCGCCACCCAAACGCGTTGCACTACGGCGAACCCCGGTTACTTCGGGTAACACTAAACCCGGCGGACGAGACTGAGGCCGTTCTGCTGTCCGCGAATCGTCTCCGCAACGACTCAAGTGGAGTGCGCATACTACCCGAAATCCCGTGAAAAGAACGTTCAGGGGATCCCGCCAACAAAGATAGGTACAGAATAAGTCAAGATAAG